AATCATGATGGAACAGTCACAACTAATTGGTTTATATAGACAAGTACCTTCCTTTGCTGCGGTTCTTATTATCTGATGTGAACATCTTCTGCAAATCAATGTCATATCACCAATAAGCATTAGACTATCCAGACTCCTGGGAATCCTCTGCTTTGTGCGACAGTGCGGAAGCAGCTGTTCAACCCTGATATGCAACACAGTGTTGGCTCACATCAACACTGTGAGAGGGGGTTTATTTCTTGGCCATTGTGTTTAAACAATTTGCTACATCAGTATTCTGGCATGAAAGAACAAAAATCCTGCTTGTTGATACCCATTTATGCAAAAATGCCAATACATTGCATCATCACCAAGATGTCCGCAGAAGTTTGAGGGGAGTGCTTTGATGCTTAGGCTCTGTTTGTTTGCAGTGCAAATCTGAACTGGATACAAATTTCTACCTAGTTCAGTTTTACATCTATCTGTTTGCACTCCTAATTGATACAAAATTTGTACTTTTGTCTCATTTGCTCTTGCTGGCAATGCAAATTTTATATCCCAAAAACTGATGCAAAATTTACACCACCTTCCTCCTGCCTTTATTCTGTCTCATATAAAGTGGAAATCACATGCTTCCTATCTCACTCCCAAACAAATAACCCTCCCACTTCCATCTTCTTTCATATAAGATGGGGACCACATCATTTTACTTCCCATTTTGAATTTTTGTACTTGTTATCTTCTCAAATAGAGCCTTACAAACAAATAACACAGTCATATCTGAAGGAAACCAGAATTTACACTCAACCTATTTGCACTCCCATGTATTTACATACAACAAGCACAAAAGAAATTGTCAATTGAATATTAATTATCATTTCATTATTAGTTTGAAATACTCACCATACAATGGATTAGCATCAGCAGTGGTACCATACAGGTTTATTGATTTGGGTGACAAGAAATATACCAGTTCCATTGTGCTTGGATCATTAGGATGGTGTTTGGCAGCATGGGCGTTTATCGTCCCACTTTTCGAGGATAAAGGGAAAAGTGTAGTGTAAGGAATAGAGGGGAGTTGGAGATAATTTAAAAATTTCTATAGATTAGGACTGTAAATGGGTGAGGTTCTAGTGAAGGGAGAAGATAAATAGGAATTAGAGATAATTTAGGAGAGATGGGTAGGACTCAAGTGAACTCATTTAGAAACTCAAACGAAATTTGATTGCTCGAGCTAAAGCTAAATTGGAGCAAATGTTTATAATTCTGTTGCTTTCTGAATTTTTAAGCCAATTAATAATAAACATGTAGATTTTGTTCAATGGGAGTGATTTGATCATCACTCGAATCCAAAAGAAAATTTCCCTCTACATCAAAACATAAAATTGGATATTTTCTTCTCTCTCAAATGCATTTCTCTACTTTCTTCCATTCCTTGACTCTTTCATATACAAGACATTTTGTCAACAACACATGTATGAAAAGCATTCGCTGTGTGTTTCTTCTAGCACTTGACTTTTGAAAATTGAAATATTCTGAGTAAGAGGTTTCTATCTACAAGGTATCAACCGGCTGATTGGTAAGGTCTTCTGCTGGTTGTAGCAGAGACTTGGGATCGAATCCCGTCTGCACCTGGGTTGGGGGGATCCAAGTATTGCCTGTGGCTTCTACTACAATGGCAATTGTGATCTGTTTGCTGTCTTCATTGTCGTAAGTCGTAACACTCACAAGTATTCTGGTCTGCCAATCGAAACAATCCTATTAGAGCCAATTTAACCTTGCAACTCACTGTAAATGGAATTTGATACTGAGAGACATTGACGGGTCTTTAGTTTCTACAAACACAACTGGAAAGTTTGTAGTAGGCTTAAACATGACTGCCACAGGAAACCTGGTGCTATTTGATACAAACAATGGTACTGTCTGGTTAATTGGGATCTGCTCCTCACAGAGCGTGCCTCACAACTACATCCCACCATGGGAACATTTCCCCATGAATAATAAATACAAATGCAGGAGATGTTCCCACTGTAAGATCAGGACATGCTGTGAGGTCGGTGTGAGGGGTGCTCTGAGGAGCAGATCCAGTCTCCTGGCTGTCAGTCTTTGATCACCCAACTGACTCTTTGGCCATAAACAGAAGTTGGCGGCTGGGCAGGGGCTCAGGGCTAGCATATCTGCACTGCATTGGACTCAAGGATATCTGTTTTCAGTTTATTTTACCAGTGAAGGCCTATTTGCTCGCTCAAATTTTGATCCTCTAATGATTTATTCTCATTTATAGCTATTGGCCCCAAAGAAAGCAGAGAACCGAGCTATATGAGATTCCAAAATGGAAGTCTTGCCCTGTTTACATGGTTTGCTGAACCAAACCAGCCAGATTATGAAGTGACTATTCATCTAGCATCCTCTGATCCTCTCAATTCAGTACATGAAGTTGGGTTCAGATGGGCATTTGAGAGTTTATGATTACGGATTACCTCCCAATAGAGTGGAAGGAGGTGGCCAATCTGCTGACAGGGTATCTAGGTGACCGTGCTTATCCCATGGTCTGTGGGTATTATGGCATTTGCTCAGAAGGGCAGTGCAATTGTCCCAAAGGATCTGATGCTGAGACTAACTATTTTAGGCAATTAAATGACATGCAACCCAATCTTGGATGTTCTGAAGTTGCTCCTTTATCTTGTGGAACTTCTCAGTATCATACCTTCCTGGAGCTCAAGGATACCATCAACTCTCTCATTGACCGAAGAACCACAAGCATGGAGAGTTAAAGAGAGGCCTGTTTGAAAAACTGTTCCTGCAAAGCTGCTCTGTTTTGATATGAATACAATGCTTCTAATGGTTATTGCTTTTTACCCACCCAACTTTTTTCCCTGATGAAAAATGATAAGCAAAAAACTAGTTATAATTCGTTTGCATTCATCAAGGTCCAGGTTCCCTCTGTTGCACTGGCTTCCTCCTCAGATGCTTCTCCTACTCCTTTACACCATGAAAAGAAAAACAAGCGGGGCTGCAATAATATGGGGATCAAATCTTGGAGGTCTGTTTGCTGCGGTTGTTATAATTAGCATCCTGGTTGTTATTTTGAGGAAAAACAAATGCGCCATGGAAAATGAGGATGATTTACATCAGGGACCTGGATTTCCCATGAGATTCTCATATCAAGGCTTAAGGGATGCCACTGCAAAGGAGTCATTCTTAGCCAAAGTTGAGATAATTGGCAGCATTCACCATGTCAATTTAGTAAGATTGATTGGATTTTGTTCTGAGAAATTGCATAGTCTTTTAGTTTATGAAAACATGTGCAATGGGTCCTTGGATAAATGGATCTTCCAGAAAGACCAAGAGCACATTCTTGATTGGAAAACCAGATGACAGATCATTACTGATGTAACCAAGCGACTTGCTTATCTCCATGAAGAGTGCAGGCAGAAAATAGTCCATTTAGATATTAAACCCCAAAACATGCTCTTAGATGACAACTTCAATTCTTAGCTCCCAATTTTGGTTTGTCTATGCTAATTGACAGGGATCAGAACCAAGTTGTGACCACAATGAGAGGAACTTGTGGATATATAGCTTTGGCATTGTGGTCATGGAGATGGTGGATGGGCGAACAAATTTTGATCACTCCCAACCAAAGGACAATATGCACTTAATTAGTATATTGAGAAGAAAAGGAAGAAGAGGGGCAACTATTTGATATGATTGACAAACACAGTGAAGATATGCAGCTACATGGAGCTGAAGCTGTAGAACTATTGAGGGTTCCTTGCTGCATAGTGTTCACAGAATATTCACACCAGGAGGCCATCCATGTGTGAGGTGGTGAAGGTCCTAGAGAGTGCCATGAAAATTGAACCCAGTATAGATTATAGTTTCTCGATCCCATCACCACCCAACAGCAATAAATATGGCTCACAAAAAAGACAAGCATGGGAGTTTCTGCTCCATTACTGCCTTCAGTTCTATCAGGACCAAGGTGAGGAAAATAACCTTCACAAGCAGTCTAGGTTGTTCATTTACTCCTGCTCCATTTTACATTTGTGTCACCAAGGGAAGTTTAAACCGACTTTTTTTTTCCTTTTTTGATGAATATGATGCTATGTACAATTTGGAAAAGGATATATTTCATGTTATAAGAAAGCTCACATTTCTAAATGGAAGATGTTAAAGAATTAGATTAATCATTATCAACAAATAGCCATCTCTTGTGGTTTTGTCAAATGAGATTCCTGCTACTAATTTGTGGCTACTAGGTAGTTAAGCTCCATAAGATGTGTATATCTATCTTCAATTCCGTTTGGTTATTGTTCATGTTATATACATACTCCTTACAGAGAACGTTATGTGATTCATGAGATGAATCTTGAAGCTTTCAAGCAACATTTGGAGATTAAGGGTGATTTTGTATCTATGCAGATGATGTTGAGGGGCTAGACATTGATTATTCTACAAATGGATAACCTAAACTAACCATTACAACCTCAATCCTAACCCTAATCCAACCCAACTTTTAACAAGAAAGGATTAGCTGAATTTGATAGTTGTTTTAGGGGTGTCTGATCAATCATTTTACTCCACAACAGCCATAAAATGCATGCAAGTGAGAGATTGGGTGATTGTGGGCCATCAGCACTATATGGCAGGCACAGAAAGTAATGTTTGATCCAACAGCCCATAAAACAGCTCTTCAGGCTGTCTTTTATTTGACAGAAAATAAGAGAGAAATAGGAAGTTTAGAGAAAGTTCTTAATATTTTTTTTGAATTCCTTAAAAACAACTTTCCTGGAACATTCCATCCTTTTTTTAATAATTCAAACTATTCATTGACTACGAAAACAAGAGCCCAGGTATTCTGGTGGACTATCCCACCAGTAACTGTGCTCATCAGAACATCTTGCTTTTGGAGTTGAACTAAAGCATGAACAGCCACCCTAAATTTTCTAGACATATAAACATAATTAATTCTCAAAAAAGAAAAAAAACTTTAGACAAAGATAATATTTGGTCCATAGTGCAATTATTCTTCCAATGGAGCTCCCCTCCCTGATTCAATATATTTGATAACCATTTTTGCATCTGAAACTAAGAAATATATCTTCCAACCATTATCTTTAGCAAAAGACATTACCTTCCAAATCGCCCACAATTCCGCACACAAAAGAAAATCAACTTTACCCAAAAAAGAAATACTCTACTTGGAAACTCCTTTGGCTTCTATTTGCTTTGCCGCTTTCCTATCAGTTTCGCAGCTATTTGTTCTTGAAGGTTGGCAACTTGTTCTTCAAGTCTCGCAATTCGTTCTTCAAGTTCGGCAATTCGCCTGTACGTCAAGGCTCTATATTCTTCATCAATTTCTTCTCTCATTTCCAGAGGCGGGGCCTGATTCTTAGCCTGATCACCCAGGGTCCTCCTGGGCTTGACATCTGCATTGATAACACATCTGTATGGAATAGGCATGGCTTTGCTGGGATGAGACTGAAATTATAGAACAGAACCAGGTTGAAAGGCACAAGGATCCAGCTGCAAAACAACAGACGCGCCGTGAGAAGTTTGCGACTCAATGGAGAGAAAGCTTCAATGTCACTGGTCTGGTCAGAAAACGTCGATGATGGTGACGATGATAATAGAAACTAGAAAATTCTGATCGCTAAACCTGACGGCGGCGAGGCGCCATGAGAAGTGTATGACGAGTGGCGAATCTGGGAGTACGTAACAGTGCAAAGTTTTTTAACCCTAAACCTAACAAGTAAGTAAGCAACACTGAAGCCTGAACCCCCCAGTTAAAATAGATGATTTTAAAATTATTTGATTTTTTTTTTTCTGATATTTGATGTCTTATTTTGACGATACGCGCGGATGCCGCATAGGGCCGTTTGAATAGCGCAGCTCAATGCCCGTTTTGTTAGATTGGGTTGGGCCCCAAAGCCCAATCCAAATTACATCCTTTCTAATTTGGGCCTCAAAATAGGCCATCTGTCTAGCCTATTATGAGGCAACAAAAACAAGCACCTAAAAAAGCGAGTGAAAAAGATGTAACGAAAAAGGTATGACGACGACGTTCTCACGGACGGAAGTATGTATGTGTTTGGTTTCGTCGTTTATTTGTATTTTTTTTTATTTTAAACGTTTATTTATATTTTTTTACTTTAAACGTTTTCTGTTTTTGTTGTTTGGTCGGACTTCACTTTAGATGTTTTTTATTCTCTACCTCAAATTAATATCCATATATCTTACCGTCACTGGTTGGTTTAAAATCCTTTCCTGAAATTTCTAACAATCATAAAAACTTCCCTTATAGTTTCATTTTAATAAATATCTCTCTAAACTTTTCAGAAACTCAACAAAAACCTCTCTTCTATCACCGTCCCAAATAGAAAACATTAGGCTGATGCACCAATTTTTTCTAAATATCCATTCTACCCTTTTATAATTTTTTTTACATACAAAATTATTGAAATAATCCATTCTACCCTTTTATAAATTATTTTACATACAAAATTATTGAAATAATCCCATTTGAACTCAACAAAAATACATATTTCAATAATTTTGTATGTAAAAATTACTGAAATGATCATTAAAGGAGGTTTTTGTTGAGTTAAAACGGGATTATTTCAGTAATTTTATATGTAAAATAATTTATAAAAGGGTAGAATGGGTATTTGAAAAAATTGGTGCATCAGTCTAACGTCTTTCGTCTGGAATGGTGATGGAAGGAAAGTTTTTGTTGAGTTTCTCAAAAGTTCAGAGAAGGTATTTGTTAAAATGAAACCATAAGGGAGGTTTTTATGATTGTCATAAACTTTAGGAGAGGTTTTTGTATTTTATCCTAAATCTTAGTTGATCTAGCTAGTTAATATAGGATTGGATATTTTGGTAAGTAAGATAGAAGAATTTCCCTGAAATAACTCCTCTCCCCCAAATCCTCTTCTCAGGATTTTGTCTCTTAGGCTCAATTTGAAAAGAGTAGAAATACAAACATGTACAGTGCAAAAATTTATATTTTGAAGTATTTTGTATATATTTACCCCATACATATTTGTACTTGTACTCTTTCCAAACTAAGCCTTCGTTATGGTCACCATTTGGAAGCAGTTTTCAATGTTGTTGAGCGAAAAGATTGCATTTTGATTGTATAATGCTGACTCTACATAACAAGACGTTGAGGAAACGATGACCAATTCCCTTTTCATATAAGAGTTCGTCGAGTTGAGCCATTCCTTGATATTGTGATTCTCCATTGGATCTTTGCACTGTTGAATTCTCTTTTGATTTCTCACCTCTCAAAACTCCACTGATTCATGCACATATATGTAACTAGATGAAAATTTCACCCTCACAATCAACCACAATTTGAAGGTCTTTTGAAGAGAGGCAAGCTGGTCTGGTTCGATCTCCATCCCTTCAGCTGTATAGGAGAATTGTTGCTTGTATATGGATTTTTTGGGGTTTTGCCTGATAGTTATGAATTTCATACAAGAAATGACGTGGTAGCCATCTTCAACTCTTAAAAATAAATAAATAAAAAAAAAACCATTAATAGAGGTCTTTAAACTAGTTTGAACTTTGAACTTTTAAGATGACTAAACTTATTCCTAAGACACCAACAAACTTGAAAATAAATTTGGAATGGGACAGGTTTGGGAAATCGGGTCAGCCAGACCATGACAGGTTTAACGAGTTTGGTTTTGGATAAAAGATTCTTAGGTGAGTTTGGGAATGGGAAGGGCAATTTTCATGGGTATCCTAGCTTGAAGTACTTCAGTATAATCCACATTATTTGTGCTTTCACTTTCAAATTTTTACTTTAAATATGTTTTATATGCAATTTCGGCCAATAGGCGTTTTTAAAACCTTTAACTTGTTTTAAAATATAGGTTTTTATATGTATTGTTGTTTTTATTTTAAAAAATTTCGCCTTCCACCTCAATCACTATAAAGCCCTTCTGCTTCTAAAACACTGGTCTCATAAACACTCCAGCAGGGAAGATGAAATTTTGCATACATGCTGCAATTTCTCAATATCATTTTTTAACAATATTACCTTGATATTTCCATCTTGTATGATGCCTTTGTATTTAGTCGAAGTCTCAAACTAGTTGTTTGTATTGCTTATTTAGAACTATGACATGAGAATAGTGGTGGTGTGTCGCAGAATCAGTAACTGGACAAGCTTTTGAGAACATGGCTTGACACCTAAGTATGGAATATCTACAGGGCGATCCTTCTTCAATCTCGTGTAGCTTTCATGTCCACTTGCTCCATATTCTGGAACTTCTACTTGTCTTCGACCATGAGCAAATGGTAGGATGGACTTTCTGTCCATAACTTGAGATTCATTTTTTGGAACATTGGGGGAGGTATAATTCTCAAGTGTGCTTGTGCTTTCTCTCTGCTACTTGTTCAGTGATTTTTCTTTTCCTCTTTTCGTAATTCTTTCTGTTTGAATCATGAACTTGAAAGCAGGTTGCCCTGAGCTGAGAGGAAAATGGAATAGCTAGAAGCAGTAATTTGGATTATTTGTTTATCAAGAACATAATTTGCAAGTCATTCTGTGTCAAAATCAGTGAGAGTTTTGCTTCTGTAACACTGATGTTAATTTATAAGTTGAAGCCAAGTAATCTTGGCCTTTGCATTGATAATTCCCATTTGATTCAAGTTAAAACGAATAACTACTAGTATTATTTATCTGGTGTATGCCAGCTAGGAACTTGAGTTGGGGGTTTTTCATTATGTAGAAATAGGGGTGGTCATGAGCCGAGTTTTTCATAGAGCTTTCGCTTGTGAAAAACTCAATACGGTTCAGTTTAAACTGAATTTTGAGTCAGGTTCAAGCCTAACATTCAGGGGTCCGCATACATCAGTATGTATGATGTCAAGCGTGCCTGTACATCTTTCAGGCTTGCCGCCGAATGGCCGTTTTGTCATCTTACCACGAAGGCAAGGTTCACAGGTGGGAAAATCTTCTACAGTTAGAAAATCCAAATGACCATCATTTACCAACCTTGTGATTCGGTCAATACCGATATAGCCAAGACGGTAATGCCACAGGCACGTGGGACTAACGGTATCACAAGTTCTCTTGGGAACGTCAATCGACGTAGTTTCGGCTATGTTGGTTTCTAGAGAATGATGTAGAACATAGATACCGTTCTCCAGTTCCCCGTATGCGATGAATTTATTGTTTCTTTTAATAGTAATCGTATTACTAAAGAAAACAGAATATCCATCAGCACACARTTTTGAGACAGAAATCAAATTTCTTCTTAAATTTTGTACATAAAGACAATCTTTAAGTACAAGTGATCATTCTCTAAAAAACAATTCTACGGTTTCGATGGCCGCAGCTACAACGCTTGTAGAAGTTCCCAAGAAGAGCGTCACCTCTCCCTCACTCAATCTTCTGCTTATTCTGAAACCCTGCAATGTGTTACATGCATGAGTCGAAGCCCCAAAGTCAATACACTAGGAAGCAAAAGTAACCAACAAATTGGTTTCTATGACACAGGATTCGGGATTACATTTCTTGGATTTAGGTAGGCAGGACAGTTCCTTCTCCAGTGGTCAGTCTGGTGACAATGGTGACAGGCATCGGATGCCTTGTCCTTCTTTTGTCTCTTAGATTTGTTGCCCTTTTTCTAGGGCCTCTTCTTAGACCTCCTCTTCTTGTCACGCTTGCCTGCTTTCATAAGCATGGCCACGGGCTCATCCTTACGAATCAGTTCTTCAGCTCGTTTCAACATATTGTTGAGCTCTTGTAGACTGACATTCAGTTTATTCATGTTATAATTCATGACAAACTGATTGTAGGACAGAGGTAAAGAATTTAGAATGGCGTCTACCTTGGTGACGTGGTCTAGCTCGAACCCTAGAGCCTCCAGCTCGTTTATGTATCCCATCATCCGAAGACAATGGTCATGCACTTGTTGTCCCTTGGTCATTTGAGCGGTCATGAACTGCTTCAAGACCTTCTGCCGAGTAGAACGATTCTGCTCTTCATACATAGTTTTCAGACTGTCCAATATGTCATTGGCCAGTTCGATCTGATCGAACTGCCTCTGTATTGGATTGTCTAGAGAAACTATGATATGACAACGGGCCAGAGAGTTCTTTTCCTCCCACTCATGGTAGTTCCTTTTGCAGGCCTCAGAAACCCGATCACCTGGATGCTCCGGGGCTGTGTTTTTGGCAACTTTATTCAATTTTTCAGAAGTCAGTACCAGCATGAGGTTACGGTACCAGTCAACGTAATTAGGGCCTTTAAGTTTGTTGTCATCAAGAAGCTTGGCAAATTGTCCGTTAGCCATTTTCTAGTAAAATAGCAAGACATCAATCCACAACCTAATTTGATTCATGTTATCTACATAGATATGGCTTTTAATCTATGTTTCATTTCCATTTGTTCATCACCGGGGTTTCCCTCCTATCTCAGTGACGGAGATAGCGACAATTATGTCTCTTGGAAATGTGGAAAACCACATAGGGTGCATGGAGCCAACTATTTCAGTTGCATAACCCCACCACCTTTCTGTGACGGATCATATCCACTCATCACATGAGCTTTCCCTTTGGCATCTGGCAGACAAGGTTCATAGTCGTTTATGGGTAAACCTTTCTCTCCAATGAGTGCTCACCCATCATATTCGACCACACCAAGGTACCGTGAGAGAGTTCCCATTTTCTGGTGAAGCCCCTCCCACATCGGTCTATGACCTCCCTATCATCGTATGAAACAATCCAACAG